CCTTCCTTCCTTCCTTCCTTCCTTCCTTCCTTCCTTCCTTCCTTCCTTCCTTCCTTCCTTCCTTCCTTCTTTCACTCAGGCAGAGATATTGAAAGAAGCAAGTCTTTATCCTTTCCTTTCCTCTCCTCTCCTGACAAGAACCTAAGAAGTAAGAAGAAAAGTGTGGATAGCAAAGAGAAAGAACAAGGGATGCAGTTCAGATCAACACAATTAACCAAAGGTAAATAAATCTTCCATATTTCACACTTTCAGAGCATATGCAAAATTCATTCCAGAGATAAAAGAACATCCTGGACCTACGGTGGTTAGCTGTTAGGAAGTCCCTTTGACAAGATGGATCAAGGGATGGGTCAAGGGAATCCTGAGTCGGTCAATTCTAGACTCTTCATGAAGACAAGTCCTTTGTCCAGTAGCAAGTGACCTACTGTTTCTTATGCCAGGGTTTGGCCAACAAATTAGGAAATTGCTTAGTAATTGAATTTACTTCCTTAATCACTATTTGATAATACAAAAAGCTAGGCATTTCAAATTGAACAAACCATAGTGATATATTGTTTAATGGGGAACATTAGGAAGAAAATATAAAGTTTGAATTGGTTCACTTATCAGATTCTTTAAGTGATCTTTACCATTATTTGGCCAAAAGGATATCACAAGGGCTAAATCCTAAAATAAGTGTTTAAAGGACTTCAGCCTAAATCCTATTCAGATTATTGGAATCAAACTAATCAAAACTAAATTGTTCTATATGGCTCGCCATATTGCTCACCATATACATGGCCTAAATGCTTGTCTTCCATATATATCTAGGTTTTCTCTTCTTTTAGTTCTACCGCTTTCCTTCTTTTCTTCTTTATTTCCAACTATCTCTTCTCCATTCCTATTGTATCGTTTCCATTATATGCAAATGGTGTTGTATTGTTTGACAATCCCCATAGGATGATTCGTATAGCCCCACAATGAAGAATAAAATCTGGCATCTTCCTGGCTGACTGTTTTCACTTTTCATTTTGTGACCAAGGTTAATTTAGCTTATGCAAATCAGGAGAATGGAACTACACTACTGCAATGCGCTCTACATGGGGCAGCCCTTGAAGAGTATTCGGAGACTNCCGTGATGGTGAACCTATGGCACACGTCCACAGGTGACACCCGGAGCCATTTCTTAGGGCACGCAAGGCGTTGATCTATCAGCTCCAGCACGCATGCATAAGTTGGCCAGATGATTTTGGCCTTCATTTTCGGTTATTTATTGCCCTCTGGAGGATTCCCTGAAGCCTCCGGAGGGTGAAAAGCAACCCAATGTGCAAACTGGAAGTTCGGGAACAGAGTTCTTGTTTGTGCGTTGGGCCATTTTTCTCCTTCCAGAAGCTTCAGGAGACTTTCCAGAGCATCTGGAGGGAGAAAAATGGCCCAACACACAAACTGGAAGTCAGAAAACAAGGGCCAGGGGGGGACGGGGGAGGCCGTTTTCATCCTCCCAGGGTCCTAGAAAGCCTCTGAAGCCCGGGGCCAGGGAAAAACAGGTCCACCATGCCATTGCACATGCATGCACGGGGGAGGGCACATGTGTGCACGCTCCTCCCACTTTTGCCATGTGATGACAAAAAGGTTTGCCATCATTGCTATAGGGACAGGAAAGACTAGAGAAAGGCCACATGCAAACATTGCTTCCAAAGGTCCATCTATCTTAAGATCGTTTCTCAAGAATCAACTAATAGTTTGAGGGAAACTTCAGTTGTGTAAGGTTAGGCATTTGCTACTTTTGCTCATGAGCTGCAAGAAAAAAAGTTATCCTTTCTTCTGATTGTCCATTCTTTTCTTCTTTTTTCATACCATTTTTTATTCTGTTTATAGATTTATTAACAATATTGGATCATTTGCATGTATCATAGCAGTTAAAACAAGGGTGTTTTTTGTTTGAAAATTATGAGTACGGTTCAATATGTCGGCATGTTAATATTTTGATAGCCTACTAGAATTTGCAATTGTTGGCTTGTTTCTCCAAGCAACTGATTATTTGACTCAGTTTGCCCTCTAGAGAATGGTCATAGATTTTGTTTTCATTTTAAACCATGTCCTAAATCATTTTGATAATAAAACCTTGCCCTAATCTAAATATACATAAAGTTCATTTTTAATTTGGATGAAGTAGATCTTATCTATATCTTACTCAAATATATTTTAATATGTTATACAGTTAAAAAACAAATAAACACTCTATTGAAATTAAGTCTACTAATATCAATAAGTATAGGTATTTTGGATACTCAAAAAAGGAAGAGGAGAAATGTATAGAAAATAAGATGTGAGTATAGTGACCTATTTGTAGACATGGAACATTGACAAATGTTGAACAGCAGCATGTACTTGATCTTCAAAGAGGTCAATAGAGAACAGTTAGAAAAAACTATAAATAGTTCGATGAATGTGATAGATTGAATCTTATTGGAACATATTATAGATTTTATAGTTAACATTTTAAAAATGTTCTTCCATTTGTCTCAGAAATGTACTTTTGGTGTCATGCCAGGGCACTAATGCTTTCTGAAATAAAATAAGCATATATTTGAACATTTAATTTATTCTCTTGTACTAGTCACAATCAAGTTGGAAAACAATGGGAAAATACTGAGAGCGGTTCAGTTCCCTTGTTTATTGAAATTAATAAGAAAGTGATGATTAAAAGGGGTTAATTTCTTGGGCTGTAAGGAAGACGGAAACTTTCAAACTTGCAAGATTTATTTCAGTCTTATAAGTAAACCAAGTGGGAATGATGAGCTAATTGTAGTCTATTGTAATATTATATTAGTAGAATTAGCATTATTCCGGCTGCGTAACCATTCCCTATGTTTGGCTTATGCCTGTAATTAGATCTGAATACATTCTATTGTCTTTTAATAAACATAATTAATTTAATTAACAAAGATGCAACATAATAAATGATACAGGAACACAGATAGTAGCGATTAACACATTTTGTTCCATGTAGTTCCATTAGCTTTTTCTAGCTTGCTAGGAATAAAACTCAAACCAAATGGAAACTAACATCAAACAAGTATAATTTACCCAAATACGTCAACAAAAATCCACTGTATTCCATATCCTCTATACATGCTGAGGATTATTGTAGGATTAAAATGGGTTGATGAGGGAATTACATATTCTAATTTAAATTCATTTGTATAAAGGTATAGAAATACATTATTTGTCAAACGTGCCTCCTTCAAAATTTTATAAAGGAAACCTCCAATTCTATTGTTTTAGAGAAAAGGTACTTTTACTGAATATAAAGTGATAGCATCGTAAATAAAGCAAGATCTGAGGCTAAAAGCCACGAAATTGTACATATCAAAAGTTTACCCAATTTCCTCTCCCCCAACAACCTCAAGTTAAATGTCCAATCTCTAGCCCCCAAGGGTGTCATGTGGGGTGTATCTTCAGGTGGCCTCATCCATCTGGTATGCAGAGACGGCTGATCTTGACCAGACCTAAACAGGACCATTCAGCATGCACAGAAGATAGTGTGAACAAAACTCCCTCTTCATCCCAAGAAATCACCTCCAGCATGAGTCCCCTCCCAAATACCGAAACCCCCTCCCTCCCTGTTACTATGGCAGCCAATAGCAAGCAAAGCGATATAGAGGCTGACATTATTGGATATGCTGACAAAATAAAATATAGTTTCAGTTATGTTTGTTTTCTTGTTTATTGGCTGTATGAATATTATATTTAATATATTCGATATGCTGTATTGTTTATAATGATCAGATGTTTAGCCTTTGTTTTGTCTTTTTTCCCTGCAGTTGTGACTCTGAAAATAGATATCTTGGTAATCCACTCAGGGGAACATGTTACTGTAAGTATTTGTATATTTCATTTTACTCTGATCTTCCTTTTAAATAATATACACACTAAAATCTATTTTAGATCAGTTCTGATATGTTATTATTAGCTGTTATTAATTATCAAATAAACTATTAATTAGAAACTATTGATCAGTGGTAAGTTTATGACAGATACTTTTTCTTTCTTTCTTCTGTTCAATCATGCCCAGAGACGTTCCTACAGTTTTCTTCACCAAGTTTCTCAGAACTGGTTTGCCTTTGCCTCCCTCTGAGGGCTAAAAGAAACACCCAGCTGTACCTAAGGCAGACCTAGAACTCCCGGTCTCCACGTTTTTATCCTGATGCCTTAGCAATAATAACACACTGTCCCTGGATATAGGATAGATGTTAAATAGTAACCTTGACATTATCACAAGGTTTGCTGAACTCCTTGGCAAGGAGATACATGTATGGAAAAACAAAATACTTATCATTATTATTTATTTCAAGATAAATTATTAAAATTTTATGCAAACATGTATCATTGCTTTGAAACATAAATCATTGTACTTTCTACTAGGAGGATGGTAACTTGCTTCTGGATATTGACAGAATGGTTGCTGTGCTTTAAAATATAATTATAGATAATTATAATATGATATGCCAATCATTTTAATTACATTCAAGTGTCAATACAAGAGTCAAAAAACAAAAAAAGAACATGTAATGAATTTACAGAATCTAGAGTTAAATAAATATGATAATAAATTTATAACAAAACATGTATACACTATTTCAAGAATGTTTGTGAGATTTAGTGGTACCAACAGAATGTATCTGTAGACATTCTTGATATCAACACTTTTTTGAACTCAAAAAATAAATACAGCCAAATGTAAACAGTGAAGAAGATATAACACTTATGAACACTGAACAACTTAAAGAAAAATCTTATTGTAATTCTCTAGTAGTCCTGCTTCATAAATTTTCTTTGAGAATAATTGTACCATACCTAGGTCCCCTTCACTTTTAAATAGCTGAAGTTATTTGTCTTCTATCAGTAATTTAGAAATTTGTGGGCTTAGATTTATGTCATCTTGTACTACTTACATCAATTGTAAATCTACGCTATGAATAAATTTATTATTTTTTTCAAATTCATTTGCATTCTGTTTTGATCCTTCATTAGCTAGATATAGGATTTCTCATGTTAAAAATTTAAGTAAGGGGGAGATCCATGGAAAGCAGCACAAATTATCTAGTTGTAGCAGCAAAAAGAGGTTACCATATTTTGAGTTTTGAAGTTTATAAAAAGACAAATAAAAGAACTTTTAAAGATAAATATTGCTATAAAATTCTACATTTTATAAAATTGTGATGTAGAGATTGGTCTTTCTGATATAACACTAGAATTTGCTGCCATCCAATTTAAAATATATTATAATAATTAAAAATCTCAGAACTAATTCATAGAGCAAATATGTTGAATTTGTTACTTCATTACTTTATGGGTTCTCCNATCATCATCATCATCATCATCATCATCATCATCATCATCATCATGTTTTTGTGGACAAACTACTTTTAAATAGTCATAAATAAAACTATAGTCAAAGGACTACTGTGTATGCAGATTACATGAGGTGGCTTTTATTTAATCATCTAAACTAGCTGAAAGCGTTGGCTAAATGGATAGAAAGTATTTGTTAGATATATTTGCAGGATTTCTATCCCACTATATAATCCAGAGAAATCAGATAACGATCCTTACTTGAGTTCAAAATTAGAGTCTATGGTCTTGCTCTGAAAAGGGCTTCAGAAACAAATCCCTGAAAAAGAGGAATCTTTTTTTAGTTTCTTTTCACTTGTCTTATTTTGTTACCAGTAGAAGAAAAGTACTAATTATTTTGTAGTTAGTATATACTCCTGTCCTTCATTTTTTATTAGAAGAAAAGCCAGTTGATTTTTGATTGGATTTTTAGTTCAGACCAATGTTCTTTTTTCTAAAAACAACCTACTATGTAATGACACATTCTGCCTGAGTAACTGAAACACAGTGTTGAAATGAAAGTAGAAAATTAAAATGTCATTCTCTGTGTTTGTTCTATTAATTATAGAAATTATAGGGTACAACTGATATTTCCGGGTCTGTAATTCTTAAATAGTTCAAAATCTGGACTATGTGTCTACTTGAAGTATGAATGTTCTTTTACATTAAATGTGAAAGAAAAAATACTTGAAAAATAAAGTAGAAACAGAATATAGCAATCTGAAAATATTGACAGATACCTTGTTTATTGTTAATGTTTGCATAAGAATATTAGAATCATTTTCTTAGAAGGCAATTGAAGTTTTGTTGTATTTAAGCTGAACAATTATGGTAAAATAATATTTTATCTTTTAAAAGACAAATTTGTATAGTTATATATTTAGATTTTACTTTTTTCATTGATTTCAAGGATGATATAAGTATATAAGAAAATTGGAAATGTTGCTAAAATTTCATGTTTTAAATCAGCAGTATTGTTTTCTTAATTACAATTACATACCTTCAACAGATATATGATTCAGTATAGCACTTTTGTCTGATATTTAAAATGGCCAACATTTTAACAATTGAACTTGTACAGTAATATAATTTATATGTTACATATATATTGCAATGTGCTCTAGACCATTTGTTAGAATCATAAAAACAAAATTATTTGAAAGATCATTGCTTAAGCCATGGAAAACTACTATTAAAAAGACCTTGGATACAACGGAGCAGAAATCAAACCTCATGGATATATTCCTAAAAGGAATAGAAATAAGAGAAAATTGCCGAATATACTCAGTCTGTAGCATATTTCTCAGTCACCAAGGTTTATCCTATAGGAAAGCATAGTCCAGAATAACCAGTCTATGGAGAATTATCCCTTGGCAGGTACATGAGATTTAGGATAGAAGGAAAGTGTTGCTTTTGTTTCTTATTATTTTTTAATGGATGAATTCAGTTCATGTATTTCAATTAGTTTGGGATCCCAATATTTGGGATATTGACTCTATGTTTGTTTTAGTTTTAAATGTTCCTTTTATTCCACAAATGTTAATGTAATGAGTGGGAAAAGCCTGACAAATTAATCTGTGTCACAATTACTACCCACCAAATTCAAGGTATACCTTCCAGGACTGTACCATAAAACAAAGAGGATTGAAATTTCAGTGATTTCCAAGTATCAAGTATAAAAGAGAGTATTGGGGGTTGGGGTAGAAAAGTATCTAAAATATGCAACCCGTTGTTCAGTAAGACACTAGTATAAATAATTGTAATATGACCCAAAGAAGACCAGACCTAATAACAGATGAAAGCCACTAAGAACTAAATAAAAAAATCAACTTGGATAATCTCTAAAAAGTTGAGTTGTAACTTTGAAAAAAAATAATAATCAGAAAGCCAACCTTTCCTGTTATCTTTTAAGATTACCTGGTAAGATCTTTACAAATAGTAAATACTTGTTTCTGAGACAGAACCCTTTTCTGAGTTGGAGCTTTATGAAAAACAGAAAGTTTGTTATTTTATTCAATACATAAAAATCAATAGTGAAATTTCAATTTTTTTACTATCAGTTCTGTGAGCTTGGCTTGGTGGGCATGGCAGGGGAAGGATACTGCAAAATCTCCCTTCCCACCCCATTCCAGGGAAAGGATACTGCAAAATCTCCCTTCCCACCCCATTCCAGGGAAAGGATA